GGGTGCATTATGCAAATATTCCCACATAGTGAAGTAGATATGTGGGGGCGTGTTAGAACGAGCCGTTTTAGGGGGGTGTGGCAGAGTCTTAACTTTTGATTAAGAATATCTCTTTGGTTTTGAGACTTTAGTCTTTGCAACTTCAGGGATCTTATCTATGCACTATCAGCTTGTAACACTCCAAAGAGAAAGGAAAACTTGAAATCGCATCATATGACCCCTTTAAAAACCAGACATCAGTTAAACCAACTCTACCTATCAAATACTGAGACTTGTACATCCAGACTTTGAAAATACCCTTGTTTCCTTCCACTTTTTATGTGAATTGAGATATTGCATTACAAATGCTGGGTGGAGATAGCAATATGCACATAAAGTCTTAAAATGTGCATAAAAGCTTGTACACTCAGTTGAGCCAGATACATTTTTTTATCCCATAAGACAACATGCATAAACAACAAAGGAAACATTTACTGAATAGATTTGGTGTAACAAAAGACTTTGCCTCAACAGGTGATGTGACTGGATAAATGGAATAACTAGAGCACCAAACTCATCACACACATGTTGTTTTAATCATTCTGAAATGCCAAAATCCATCATCGAAATTATTTGGTATAATTACCTCCCAGAACTGTTTCAAACGATCACGTTCCCAAACATCAGGCATACGAACAGTTAACATGACAGCTTTTGTTATTGTGTTTCGTTTGTGTCGCTCTGAGGTCATTTATCATGTAGGAAAAAAAAGAGTCAGAGGCTTCCCCAGTTGCAGCAGCTTTGTTTTTTATTATTGATACTTGTGGCAGTTTCCCTGGAAGTGACGATTTTGTTCTCTTGAGTACATGGGATGGAAACTGTGCTTTATTCTAGCAAATGTTTTATGCAGTATTCTAATTAAGTTTAATGTATGTTTGTCACACAGTTTCCAGCCAGTAGTGAGCAGGAATCTGAGTCTGAAGCCTGGGTCAATGCACTTTTAGGTCGCATTGTCTGGGACTTTCTTGGAGAGAAATACTGGGCAGATGTGGTGTCCAAAAAGATCCAGAAAAAGCTGAGTAAGATCAGGGTGAGAACGGTTAGGTTTACATATTACACTAGATTGTCTGACTGCGTATTTAATTAAAAGAGTAACTTATTGTCTTGATTATTACAGCTGCCATACTTCATGAATGAACTGACCCTCACCGAGCTGGACATGGGAATATCTATTCCTAAAATCCTCAGCTCCTCCAAACCATCTGTAGATCACAGAGGTAAGGCCTGGTCTGTAATCCTGATTTATGCTTACTATTGCTCATACTGTTGTAAAGGAAAAGTGATTAGCTCAAAAGGGGGGACAAGTCCTGCATAATATATCCCACCCACTAACGGGTGCCGTGATGAAGAATGAAGAGATAATCAGTGTTATTCACTTTACCTTTCTGTGGTCATAATGTTATGCCTGATCGATGTATGTGTGTGTGTGTATATGTGAAATATTTAGCCTTACAAGAAACCACTATGGACAACCACTTTGACAGTGGCTCAGAAGCTACCAGAACACTGTAACACATGGATAGCAACTTTACTGTTTATGCATTTGGCAGACACTTTTATCCAAAGTGACTTGGATACTCAAATCATTTACTGTGGACTATCCTGCTAAACCATTATATGTGCCTTGGCCACAGTCAAGCTATATCTGCACTATACTGATGGAGCAGCACCCCTACAGTGAGTCTGTGTGATTTGGTAAATGACTCCTGCCAGCTTGTTAAACTTCTCGTTCGTCATAGAGGAAGCAGCCCACTGAGCTCAGAGGATCAGTGTGTCTCTGAGCCAATCAGAGTGGAGCAAACTCAAGTACTGACCTTTCACTCGCTCAGGAGGAAGTGTGCATAATGACGGCGTGGCTTTCAAGATTTCCGGGGGTTCACTAGTGACTCCTGTATGAATTTAATCAGTGTAAACACGTGCTGGATGCAGAATTCCAGCCTGCTTGATTTAGTGTAGAGTGTTCAAATCAGGCAAAGTTGAAGGAAATAAGTGCTTTGCTTGTTTTCAGGGGACAAGCAACTGGTGGCATATTGTGTCAGAATACAGGTGCATCTCAGTAAATTAGAATGTCATGGAAAAGTTCATTTATTTCAGTAATTCAACTCAAATTGTGAAACTCGTGTATTAAATAAATTCAATGCACACAGACTGAAGTGGTTTAAGTCTTGGGTTCTTTTAACTGTGATGATTCTGGCCCATATTTAACAAAAACCCACCAATTCGCTATCTCAACAAATTAGAATACTTCATAAGACCAATAAAAAAAAATGTTTTTGTGAATTGTTGGCCATCTGGAAAGTATGTTCATTTACTGTACATGTACTCAATACTTGGTAGAATCAAAGCAATCATGTTTTTTGGGTTAGTGAAACTTGATGAAATGATGAAAAAGTATCAATTATATAATTTGGATATATTGATTTCAAATGTTAAAGTTAGAAAATCACAATGATTATTCTCTGGGAAGAGTTTTGGGTTTTGTAAGTGGAACACACAAATGACACACTTTTGTTATTAATGCACTGACATTGAGACCATTTTGTTGGGACCACTGTATAAACTACTGTTTGAATTTCCATTGGTAGGCCTTTGGTTTGACTTGGAGATCTCGTACAACGGTTCCTTTCTTATGACTCTTGAAACCAAGATGAACCTGACCAGACTGGGAAAGAAGGAGGGGGAAGGCCTTGGAGAACAGGGAAAAGAAGGGTAAGAGCATGGATGACATTTCAGAAGACAGATGTTCCTCATCTCTTGTTCTAAATATCTGGGCTTCTGCTCTTTTGTGAAATTCTGAGTTTATTTGATGGGTTATTTTTTCTTTGGATGCATTCATCATTTACACTCTTTTACTGTTTCCTCTGGACTGATTTCTTTTTGGATGTGAACTCTTAATGGTGAGTTGAATCAGGGCTTTTCTGAAATCTCTCACTGTATTGTACATTGCTGCTGCTTAGAATTTAGCTCCATAAATTAAACTGATAGACACTTCACCATTGAAACACCACCACATCCCCGCATGTGCTTGCAGAAGTTCTGTTCTAAGCCCTTGAATAAGCTTCACATTGCATTCTGGAATTGAGATGAGTGATACATGTGATTGTGCATTTGTGTGTGAAATATGCAGACGATACCTAAAAGTGTTACAGCTCTCTGGGGTTCGGAACAGACCTTTCATCTTTATGAAGAAGTGCTTTTTTTTTTTTTGACTGTGTATCGGCTGTGTAAAGGACTTTAGTATAGGTGTTTTGCAGCTTTGCAACTTCCCTTGCTTTCAGAAAACCAGTTATCATAGAAACATGCCGCATAAGCCTTTGTTTGTTTGTGTGCATGGACCAGACCCAGACCACGCACTTACTTCCTGGCTGACAGTGATGAAGAGTCATCGAGTGCAGGATCTTCTGATGAGGAAGATGCTGTGGAAGTGCCTGAAATTCCAGGAGTGGAAGGGTGAGATTGAGAATCTTTCCATTTCCTTCTGTGTTTAATTTGGGATATTGTTACCAGTTTAGCAGCCCAACATAGAGCTCGGGCACAGAATCTGTCTATGGGTTGAAGATGGCTGCACACCTGGAGATTACTCTGGCAGAACTTACTGCATGAATAATTGGCTTGTGGCTTCTTTTCTTCACAGTTATGTTGGGGGACACAGACCCAGCAAAATCATGCGCTTTGTGGACAAGATTGCCAAGTCTAAGTATTTCCAGAAAGCCACGGAAACTGAGTTCATTAAGAAGAAGATAGAGGAGGTGTCCAATACACCACTGCTCCTGACGGTGGAGGTACAGGAGTGTCGAGGAACACTAGCTGTCAACATTCCACCACCTCCAACAGACAGGATATGGTATAGCGCTTCCTTCAATATCCTCTTCACATTACTACTGCACAGAATTCAAATCTGATAGTATCTTTGGGCATCCTACAAGTTGCTAGCACGCCATCTGCTGGTCATTATTCAGTACACGCCAAGATATTTCATGCATCTATACAATACAATACAATACAAATGTTATTTCAGTAGCATATTTAAAACAACTGCCATTGACAAGTCTTTCCAGCATCATTAATACAACAATGACATACAGTCACACAAACAAAAAATAAAAATGTAATCCTGATCACTCTAATCAATTCTAAAAGCTATACTAAAAATATGTGATTTCAATCTAGACTTAAAAGCATCCACAGATGGACAAGATTTAATGTGCATTGGAAGAAGTTTCCATAATCACGGGGCAGCCACTGAAAAGGCCCTATCACCCTTTGATTTGAATCTAGTTTTAAGAACATGAAGAATCATCTGACTCGAAGATCTCATATTTCTTGTCTTTTGATAAGGTATCAAAAGGTCAACAATATATTTTGGAGTAATACCGTGCAACGCTTTAAAAACCATCAACAGAACTCAATTCTAAATTTTACAGGCAAGAAACCAAAACTGGGATAATTCTGTGTGCGAGTCAAAAGTCTAGCAGCAGCATTTTGCACTAATTGAAGACAAGATACTTGACCCTGTGAGATACCTATATATAAAGAATTACAGTAGTCAATGCATGATGATACAAAAGCATGAATAACATTCTCCAGGTCCTTAAAAGAGAGAATTGATTTCAATTTAGAAATAATTCGGAGTTGATAAAACCCAGCCTTAACAACTCTAGTAACCTGTTTATCTAAAACCAAAACCAAATCAATGAATCCCAAATTCTTGACATGATCTGAAACACTAATCTTCATAGCGGTCAACCTACTTATAATTTCCTAAGAAGCACAAGAGTGTCTAAAGACAACACACCCAGTCTTATTAGTATTAAGATGAAGAAAATTGCTTCCCAGCCAGGCTTTAATCTCACCTAAACACTGAACAAGTCTTTTGGATCTATTGGAATATATACCTGGGTGTCGTCTGCATATAGATGATACATAATGTTATACCTACAAGAAACTGAGCCTGGAGGGCCCATATATATCAAAAATAAAATGGGCCCAAGTAAAGACCTGTGGCACACCACTATGTAATTTAGCTAATGTAGAACACAAATCTCCAATGCCAAATGAAAATGATCTATCCTTTAAATATGACTTAAACCAATCTAAGGCAGTACCCGTAATACCAACATCTTCCAAATGCTGCAATATAATACCATTCTCAACGGTATCAAATGAGACCTAAAACCTGACTGGAACATATAACAGCATTTGTACAAGATTGGGTTTTAAAATGCATTTAAATGATTTTATTGCGTGATTGAAGCACATGAACCTGTAAAGAACATGTCCAGGATATATTTTAGCTTAAAATTTTAAAGGAATTATATTTTGCTTAAATAACATGAAGCCATTTAGGGCCATTAAGATTTTGTGTGTCTTGGCAGTATTTCTGACAACTAGGCACCCTGCAAAGTATATTTATTTTTTAGAACTCAAAAGTAAAACATCTGGACATAAAAGGTCCTAAGGTGAAATGTCACGTGGACATGTTCCTGAAATTACGTTTTCAGAATAAAGATGTGAATGTGGACATATGTGGATGTTTCTGTTTATTTCAGGTATGGTTTCAGAAGTCCTCCTCATCTGGAACTGAAAGCTCGGCCTAAACTGGGCGAGAGAGAGGTTACTTTTGCTCATGTGACCGACTGGATAGAAAACAAACTCAATCAGGAGTTCCAGGTATGCATATGTGAACACCAATATAGTCTTCCATGGATATCATTATGAATGCAAAATCAATTGCATTAGAAGAACACGAAAACGTTTATTTTTAAATACTGAACATGAATGCATTTTAATTTGATTTTACAACTTTAATGTGCATTTATTTTCATAAATATTTCTGTAGTTGTAATTTTCAGCAGGATTTTAAAGAATTTGGTAGTGTATTGTAGACACGAGTGTCTAGATGTGAACAGTGATCATTGTTCAATTAATTGACTCTATATTACAAATGATCGAATTGCTGTATAAAGTACATAATTTTAACATCAGACTAAATTGATAAGATTTTTCAAAGGTGTTATAGGATCAAAAGAATTGCCATTCATTAGTGCAGGGGTTCTCAAATTTTGCCCTCGAGGTTCACTTTAATGCAGTTTAGCTTCACTTAATCAAAAACCCCTTT